GGTATAGGTAGCTCTGCCTTCTCCACTTTCACCCTGGGCCCCAGGCCTTGGGGCTGGCCCAAAGTGCATGTCTCATTAATCTTGGTTGAAGAAATAAATGTGCTTAGGGTTCCTGGTTAGGAGTTCTAACCAGGAACTAGTATGTGTCCATCAGAGGACTCCTTGAGGAGAGGCCGCAAGACAGAATTGTTCCATTTCTGCTCCTGCCAACAGCAAGGCATCCGTTCTGACCTGGGGGAGAAATTCTATCAGATCGGCCACATCCTTGTCCTTGGTGTGTCTTGTCTATAAGAAGCTGCTGTGAGAGGGGACAGATTGCTGATGAGGACAGGATGCCCACTCTCAGCATCACTGATGTGTGAGCCCAGCCTCAACCTGAGCTCTGCACGGTCCACTCCCACCTGGCTTCCATCTGTTTTCTTCAGGTCCTTCAGCCTGTGACCATGCAACTCTTGGAGCTCAGGTTCACAAGAACAGAGAGCAAGCTCTGCATCTTCTAAAACTGGGACCAAGATTAGGTGCTCCAGCTATACCACCTTTTCTAAATTGTTTTGTTTCCATCATGTGCTGGAGCCTGGACTCCTTGCTCTTGAAAGGCTCCCATTCTGCAGGGGATGCTGAATTGGGTGCTCAGAAAACAGCTAATTCTCATTATTCATGCAGTCATGATCTAGAAAGTGGCCATGAACATTGCATTGGCCAATACTGAAGCACTACTCCTAGGGGACATACAGGAACAGGGTCCCTGTGAGCTCCTGGTCATGCCTTTTCACCAACTGATCAATAATACATAACCGTTTTATGTGTGTTTCTTTTTAAAGACATTTTGTTTGCTATATATTGTTGGCTCACTCACATTAAACTCATGGCCAACAATGCTACATCTCAAACCTGAACAAAGCTCATCCAACACAGGTATTTTCTCTATGAGGCTCATTCACAGCCTCCTTGCACTGAGGAACACTGGGCAGCACTTCAGCACACATGGTGACTAATTTAAATAGCAAGACACCCAAAGTGTAAGAAGTGTGTCACTAAATAAATAGATCATGGAGAGGATAATTGTTCAGAGCATGAAAGCTGAAGTGAGAGGGCAGAGCAGGCCTTGTTCAACCTCAGCTGAGGATGTGTTTGCTGAGAAAGTCGGTTTTCAACATATGTGAGTGATCACAAAAGTGCTGCCACTGTTGATTTTGGGATTTCATAGGAATTTTAGCAAATAGGTAAATTTGCAAATACTTCTGCAAATAATTGAAGATCAACTGTATGTACAGAAGTAAGAACAATGCTTCAGGGAGTGGAGAGGAAGGAGCTAGGAGAACAGAGGGAAAGTCACAGAGGTGTTAGCCTTGAAACTAGCCTTCCATGGATGGATAAACAAACTTTCCCAGGTGGGAGGGCACCTGGGGTGCAGTGTGCATTAGTCCCAGAGGCAGGAGACAATATGGGATGAAGGAATGTCATTGGGTGAGAACGGAAACTCTGGAAAGAAGTGAGTGAGGAAGCGATCTGATCTTCAGGAACACAGGGAAGGACAGAGAGGGTCCACATCTTCATGCTACTTAAGGTAGTGCTCACGGCCGTCTCAACTCTTGGCACTTTGACCTACTAAACATATCAGAGTTCAACATGCATGATTGGCGATTGGCTTTACAGGTATTAGATCTAGGGATGAGGTTCCTTCAAAATTGTACCTCATCCCCAGGTGCCTTAGAGTCCTGGGAAAAAAGAAAAGTGGCAAACTGCACAGGGTTTTAAATCAGATGATCCTTGGAAGAGTCTGTAACCCTTCCACCCACACTCTAGCATCACATAGCCCCCCAACTCTCCCAGCAGCAAGAGGGGCTAGGGAATAAAGTCCCTGGCTACATGGCCCTGACCGGGATTATGTCCACACTCTGGAAGGAGAGCATGGTTCTGGTGGACAGCTGGCAGTTTCTGTCTAGGCCCTCAGATTGGGCTCTCAAACCATAGGGTAGAAGCCATGGTGAGTGACTTCTGTGGATATGGGCCACCAAGGGGCTGTCTAGAACAGAGAAAGTGGTCAACATGTTCAGTAAATGAATGAATGACCAATGCATTATGTCTCTCTCCTTATGGCTTTAGTTTCCTTTAAATCCTCCCCCCGTCTCTATATACATATATCCCTCCCCCCCCTCCAAACACATATCTTTTAACCTTTTAAGCAGAATAAAGACTAAGACTTGAAGGAGGAAAGGGAAGGTAGGCTGAGAGGAATAGAAGCATTCTCATTTTTCTACAGCCAGACCCTGTGCCTCTTTTACCTGGTGCCTTAATCCATTCAGGCCGCTATGGCAAAGTACCATGTGGACCATGGAGATGTATTTTCACAGCTCTGGAGGCATGCAAGTCGGAGATCAAGACACAGCCAATTTTGCGTTTGCTGAGGACTTGGTTTCCGATTCATGGGCAATGTCTTTCTTGCTCTGACCTCACATGGGGGAAGGAGTGAGGGATCTTGGGAGCTTCTTTTCTCAGGGCACTAACCTCATCCATGAGGGCTGCACTCTCGTGACCTCATCATCTCCCAATGGCCCCATTTCCCGATACCTTCACTTTGGGGGTTTGAATTTCAACATGAATTTCGGAGGGACAAATATTCAGTCCAAACATCTGGAGAAGAAACAGGGCTCCAAGAACAGAAAGAGAACCAAGAGAAGAGGGATGGGAAACCTGCAAGACTGCTCTGGATCTGTGAATATTCTGCCAATTTCATTCAGCCTCTTTTGGGATTTGAGCCACACGGATCTTAAGCAGGACCCTGAAGATCCCATGAGTGACTGAGTGGCTAGAAATGGTTTGAAATGGTCCCTGTAGCCTGGAAAGATGCCAGAGAAAGAGAAAACAGGAAGAGCATCCCCTGACACACACACACACACACACACACACACACACACACACACACACACACAGCCAGGGATCTTCTCTAATCTCTCTGCACCCAATGGCCTTATAATTCCACATCTGCAATTTTGTAATCAAATGCCACCTATGGGGCAGTGGTGTGGCCCCCCTGGTGCTTCTCCATTTGAATGGTCGCTGAATATGTAACTGCACTTGGACAACTTCTTTGATGTCTCCTGAAAGGGAAAAAAATCATTCTCCGCCTCCTTTCCCCAGTATGAGCTCCCTGGGCAAGGATAATCACAAAACCCCCACAGGCCAACGGATCAAAATAAATTAGCAGTCAGCACACACGCCAAGCCCTCTTTGAGTTATGGGATCAAGGCGGCGGACAGCAGAGGAGGTGGGCCAGGGAAGGCCTCTTCTCCTTGTCTCATAGGCGTCATTTGGAAAATGTGGGAAAGGGTCTGGCTGTGCCTGAAGTACAGGCTGCTAGAACTCTGTGTACCTGTTCCCTGGAGCCACAGGCTCAGGAGCCGAGAAGAGCCATCTGCTTTGATAGACTGCTGTGGAGCAGTCTTCCCTCCGATGGCTCAGAACACTCACCTGTATGATCTCACATTAAGTGTGTGTGTGTGTGTGAAGTATTAAGACAAAAGCACGGCTATAGCAAAAGGATGGCTTTTTATTATTCACAGAATAGTCAGGTGTGGACCCAAGGTCGTACAGCAGGCAGATAACAAGCTTTAGCTCTGAGTCCTAATCCTGTCTCGGCTCCCCCTCATCTGCCAGATGTCCCTCTTGATCTTGGCTGACCCAACATATAGGGAGGCTTGACTGGGAAGTGTGGGGAGGAGAGGAAAATGGGCTCACTCAGCCTCAACCAACTCCTGACATTGCGCTTACATAGAATGGGATTCTAGAAATATATACTGCATGAAGGAGCCAGGTGTTGCTTGCCCTGACACCTTGATGATTCTAGCAACCTACCTAAAGGGAGATCAGAGCCCTCTCATTCCTCTGCTGTCTTCCTCCCAGAGTGGAAATGCCCTGGATCTCCGAGCCAGACCCCTAAGGAGGTGCCAGGACAGTGGTGCAGAGCTCAGAGGTGGGGAGTCCTGTTACCTTACTCAGATTGTTCTGGCCTTAGCTGGGCCTGCCTTGGAGGCCACCTAGGAACTATGGGTCAGAGGAGGTCAGCTCAGCTCCCTCACCCCCGCCGGTGATCCTCCTCTCAGTCTTTGAGACTGCTCTGTTGTGAAATGGTCAAGAGAAATGCATGATGCAGCTCGGGCCTCAAGGCCCCCGGTTTGCATGATGCAGAAGAAGGGAAGGCAGATGGCACCAGCTACAGGGTCAGCCCAAAGTGGCCTGCCACCTGGAGATGAAAATCTAGCCATGCAGGCAGGTGGGCAATCTGAGCCAGTGTCATCAACCATAGCTTCATTTCACAACCATGGCTGTGCTTTCTGCTTCATTTTTCAACACAATCAAATCTGATATGTCCAAAAGTCACTCTGTCACCTGGTACTCAATACAGCATCCCCTAAGAGCTAGTGTCATGCAGCCTAACGCCCATTACAGTTCCCTAGGGGTTCTCACAGGGCAGCATGCCTGTGTTTCAGTGTCACCTCATGTCCAGGAAGTGGGCACCTGTGGCCTGTAGCATATTCTACCAGTGGCACAATGTCCGGAGAGCAGAAAGAAAGGATGTGAGTAGGATGCAGGTAGACAGCAGCAGGATGCTCCTGAAGGTCGTGAACTTGACCTTAAAATCCATATTTTATATTCTATTGTTCTCTCTGCCCTGAACCAGAATAACCCCCTCCTATTGGAGGGAGTAGGTGGAGGTTGGGGGGAGCCTCCTTTCAAGAGTCATGCACCAGGTAACTGGAAACCTGTCAATAGCAGGTGGGCTGAGGGCTCCACAGAGGACCCATGAGCTTGGGCTTGCTATCCCTTGCTTGCGTTTGCATTGCATTGAATGATGGCTGGGGGAGGAAGGGGCCCAGAATGCCATCTGGACACAGGCGCGCTCTCCCCACAGGTCTCAGGCATCTGTACAGGATCAGATGCTCCCTCATCAGATAATACTGTGGCAGGCAAAGAGGCTTAGGCAGGTCTCCACGGCAACCGCAGCTTGGGAGCTGGCCCTCCTCCAAGTTCAGCGGGGAGCAGTGGCTCCAGCCTCCTGGGACCCACACACTCTCCACAAACACCAGAAGGCTGCATCTCTCCTCCAGGCAGGACTGTTTTCTCTAGAAAAACTTCTACGGGGTACAAAGAGCAAAAAGCACAAGGAGACAGCCAGCAGCACAAGAGGATCAGAGAGTGGGGGAGCCAGGAAAGATGTAGTCCACGCTGCCCGCCCCTGCCCGCCACCGCCACCCTCCACCCTCCACCCTCGGCTGACCGACTTTCTGGTTTTCCCTGAAAAGATCCAGACTCTCTTCTCCCAGACTTGCAAGCAGAAAGCAGGATCCCTGCTGAGAACCTGTACTTGGACAGAACCTCAGGAAACTTGGTAAGAGGGAGTTCCCCCAGGAGGCAGAGGCTTCCCCACTCACACCCCAGAACAGCCACAGCCTTAGGAGTGAAAGTTTAGGCTGGGATGCTCAGCCTCATGGGGGTGGCAGGCCAGGAGCCAAAGAGCAGGCTGCACCTGAGCCCAGATGGCCACAGGTAAGCCCCTTCAGTCCCCATAGGTTCTAGGAAATGAGTGGACTGGTGCAGTATCCTTGGTCCATGGTCTGGTCATTGCTTTATAAACTCAAAAGAAGTCAAAAATTTTGTCTGTTCTGGAATCAGGAAGCCTCTCTGGGAGAAGCCAGTTCTAGTATTCTCTCTTCTGCTTTTGTGGAGAGGAAAAGGAAGAGGAGATGAGACCCAAATCAGAGATCCTCTCATCAGTCTGAGAACCATGAATTTATCAACTGTAATTTCAAGGTTCCGAGTCAGATCAAGGGATTTAGCAACAACCAAGATGTGTGGGTGATGTGTGAGCCTTAGTCCCCTTGACCGTGGAGCGGCCTGTGAACCTGCAATAAGACTCCCAAGAGTGTGGGCCTGGACAGGTCAGTACAGGGTGGGGCTCCAGGCTGGTGTTTGGGCTTGAAAGGAAAGTCTGGCTGGGACACTGGGATTAGGCTAGTTTCTTGGGAATCAGTCCCTTCCAACTGTGGTCAGTTGCCCCCTGCCCTTGGTTGTACCTCTGCCTCTGCACAAGGACAGACTGCTACTCATTCATTCAGGAACTACGTATCAAGTACAGCCTATTCAACACAGCTTTTTGCCCTTGCAGAGGTCATAGCTGGGTGAAGGAGAGAAACTACAGCCCAAACCAGGGAGAACCATGTGTGTTATAGATGGAGCCATGATAGGCACCATGCCCAACACCAGTGAATACTGAGATCCCTGTCACCTAAGTGGAGGCAGTCAGGGGCAGGCTGCAGGGAGGTGTTGAACCTTAAGATGGATCTTGATTGATGAGCAAGTCCTTGTCAGGTGGGCAGAGGATCCACAAATCAGGCTGAGTAGACCTACTTGGTGGTTCTTTTTTGCATGATACCCAAGATACATAAATTTAATTTGCAGTCTATGAAGTTGTCCTTGGGCCTGGACAAAAACAGGCCTGGGAGGAAGATTAGCCAGAAAGAGGAGTACTCACTCTCTGCACCTACTGCAGGGCCTCGGCCCAGACCCAGGGTCCAGCTTCAGCACATCCAGCCTGCCTGCTCAGTGAGTCACCAGGGGCAGCCCTGTGTCCTGGCTTGCAGAAGCTCAGCTGTTAGAGCCCAATCTCAGAGGGAAACCCAGGACTTGGCCCCTGGGCTGTGGCTCTTTTTGGACTGAGAAATCAGCATTCCTGAGTCAAGGACTGCACACCTTTCAATGGTTGGCTGGACACTGGTGCAGGACCTTGGAACACTCTCCCCACTCCATCAGGGGGTCAGAGCTTTGCTGGAACATTGTTCTTGTCACTGAGCATCTCTGGTCCCCCTCAGCTGCTAACTACCTGGAACCAGAGATGACTCTTGCCCTTGAGGCAGGTTTTTCTGGTGTCTCTAACGAGTGGCAGCTGGTAGTCCTGTCTCCCAGTGAGCGATGGAAAAGTCATGATCCTTAGGGATATTCAGAAATAGGCTTAAGGGAAGGCTAAGAGAGAGTACAGCGGATTGGAAGGTGTACTAAAGGGGAAAGGCAGGAGCGAGAGCAGAGAACCCAAGAGAAAGGCTGTGAGAGAGCGACACCTAGGGGCAGAGGTGGGACATGCAAGGCTTGTACTGCTCTGGGTCAACAAAGGCTCCTTTACTAGAGCTTTGGGTCTCATTCCTCCTTCTCCCTCTCCCCTCCCCCTCCCTCTCCTCTTACCTCTCCATTTCCCTCCCCCTCCCTTTCTCTTTGCACCAGGGATTGAACCCAGGAACACCTGAACACTGGGCCACATCCCCAGCTCTTTTAATTTTTTAATTTGAGAAAGGGGCTGTAAGTTACTTAGGGCCTCATTAAGTTGCTGAGGCTGACTTTGAACTGGTTATCCTCCTGCCCAGAGTTTTCTCTAGGGATATGGGGGTCCCCTCCTGCCATGCCAGGACAGAAGACAGACCTGGAGAAGTTAGAGTCAGGGTTGGGGTCAAGCTTGCACCCTCTTTGTATCTGGGACCCTTTGGCAGCAAAGCCTGGGAACACATTCTCAGAAAAAATGTTTCTAAGTAAATTCAGTGAAATCCATTGGTTTGCAAAGGAAACCGGCTCTATCAAAGTGCAGCTACTTAACAGATGTGATGTGGTGATATGCATGCCTCTCTATCAGCATGCAAACTAATAAAATCTAGACCAAGCACAGTGGCACATGCCTGTAATCCTAGGAACCTGGGAGGCTGACACAGGAGGCTTGCAAGTTCAAAGCCAGCCTCAGAAAGTTAGCAAGGCCCTGAGCAACTTAGTGAGACCCTGTCTCAAATAAAAATGAAAAAGGGCTGGGAATGTGGCTCAGAGGCTAAGTGGCCCCTTGGTTCAATCCCTGGTACCAAAAAAAAAAAAGAATCTAGTGACAGATCTAATAAATACCATGACTTCAACTAGCAAAAATCGCTAGTTCATGAATAACAACTTTAAAGATCCAGGAACATAGCTGTGATCTCGGCTAGAGATAAAATCACAGGTGCCATTGATACTACTATGATCTGTGGTCCTCATTCATAACTGAAGCAAATACTATATTTTAGTATTTTAGTTAAAGATTAGTGGAAGTAAAGATTTTTTTTTTTTTGGCCACATCCAAGTTTATAATCTCTGAATTCTCCCAGGACCCCAGGGTAAGAACCCCTGCTCTAAGCAACAATGATGACCACAGATTTGGGTGGACCAGCTTCTGGTTAGTTAAGAAAGCACTTATGCAGACGTTACCTGACTGATCTCACAGTAACTTGAAGTAGGTACCCCTGTTTTCTCTCTTTCAGAGCCATGAAGGTGACATGGACACAGGCAGGGTATGCCAGGGAAGGTAAAGGCATAGGAGCTGAACTCAGGTCTTCTAAAGCCTTCATGGCCTCTCCACCACCAGCCTGTTTCACCTGGACTGGCAATGGACCAAAGGCAGGGTAGGGGTACAGGCAGGCCACCAAGCATGAGTCTGAGGTCAAAGGGAGTAAAGGTAATGAGCAGGAAGAAGGCTGGGGAAGGGACTGACCCTAAGCCCCAGCCTTGGGAAAAGGAACCTGGGGAGAGGGAAGGCAAGACAGCCATCAAGGGTTGGTAGCAATCCTATCCCTGGCTTAGTTCTCAGATGGAGGAGGGAGACACAGCCCCACGGTTTTCACAGGGGACCACAAAGCTTGGAGGTGCCTTAACCCTCAGTCCCTGGCTGCCTTTCATTTCTCCTCCTCTCCCCATGTGTCATTGTTAGAGTGGGCCAGCATTCTCTCTGCTCTCTGCAGCCGTGAGGCCAGGACAAAGGCAGCATGCCTCCCTGACCTCTCTCCAGGCTCTCTGAATTCCTTAGCCATGAATCTACCTGGCTGTGTCCTAAAGATGACAGAGCCTGGTCACTGAACAGGATTACACTTTGCAAATCCTTTTGTACACTATCCTTTGTGTCTCACAGGCACTCTGATGAGTAGACACACAGCTGTATTAACCCCATTTTATAAATGAGGAAACCAAGGCCTAGCGAGGTAATGAACTTGAACAAAATCATACATTAGTGCTCAGCAGGAGTTTTGGAGTCGGACCTTGGATGACTGCACTGCTGAAGCCCAGAAATGTCCCGGGTATGTGAATGTCAATCCCTCCAGGGGCATTGCAGTCACTGGTCTGCTTGTTTTCCTCTTTCTCTTGAATACACATTCCCCGGGAGCCCAGCACCCAGCACAGGGACAGGGACACTACACACACACTGGCCCTAGGTTGCTGAGGCCAAAGTGTAGAAAACTCAGGCCTTGTGTTACTAGGTTTCTATTTCCATACCCCAAGCCTGCCCAGCACACCCACTGCCCATTGCCTTGATGACCAGGACCTCTTGGAGAAAGACACCCAGCAACACAAATGAATGAACATAGTTGGGGACAGAGGTGCTGAGAGGAAGCAAGCCCACCAGATGGAATTAGAGGGAAAGGTGACTGCAAAAAGTCTGTGTTGAGCTAGATATTTTTCCAATGTTTAAATTTTGAATATGTGCAAGGGTTGGAAGAATAGCACAATAAGAGCCCACAAAACCTCCACAAGACAATTGTTTATATCTTGCCATAATTTCCCTATTTCTATGTGAGTGTACATATACGTCGCACTGTCTGAATGACTTGAATGTAGAATATTGTGGACACCCACGAACTCTGGCATTGCATCCTGGCTTTACCCTAAACCTGAATACCATTTTTATACTTCAGAAAATTTAACAATCATCCCCCAGCATCCAATTCATGTTCAAGTTGCCCCCGATATTTTAAAGGGAGTCAATGTGCACACGTTTGAGGCAGACTCTCTAAATACCATTGGCTCAGGGGAAGCTGGCTTTTCCTCACAGGAGAGTTCTGAGAGTGAAGGGCCCTTGAAGCTCACATGGAAGAGTCTGGCTGTTCCATAGTGGTTCATCCAGAGCAAGGGAGGGGAAAAACCCAAATTGTGCAAAGTCCAGGACAGGTCACTCTTGCCGTTCACAGACTACACTCACCCTGGAATTAGTCTCAGCTGTAGATCAGGTCCTAGGAGGGCTGGGAAGAAGCAGCCATCCCTGGAATCTGACTGTGTCCCTGCTCCGTGTCTTCCTCCCTCTCTCCCTCCCCTTGTCTCTCCCTCCCTGCTTTGCCCATAAGAACTTAATCAGACCTGCCTGAGAACCTCCTGTGGGAGCAGCTGGCATCAGGACAGAAATAGCTCCTGTCTCAGTGAAGCCTCTGCTGTGGCTGGAGTTGGAAAGTGTGGGGGGTGGGGAGGAGGCAATGCAGAAAACTCTCCTCCCCTTCCCAGTGGTGAGATCCCCCACCACTGGACCTGAGAAGCTCAGAACCCACAGATCTCTGTTGGGTCCACCCCACCAGACCCTGCCCTCCGTCAAATTACCTGCCTCTAGAGACCAACTCTTTTTATTTGTTCTTTTTAGTTATACATGACAGTAGAGCGCATTTTGACCTATCAGACATACATGGAGTGTAACTTCCCATTCTTGTGGTTGCACATGATGTGGAGTTACACTGGTCACGAATTCATATATGAACAGAGGAGAGTGATGTCCGATTCATTCTACTGTGTTTCCTACTCCATTCTCTTCATTCCCCTTTAGAGACCAGCTCTCATCACTAAGGAATAGGGACCCCCTGAGGCTGCACTTCAGGCTCTTCTCTGGCTTTCTTCTGGAGTCTGGGGGTTCAAAAGATAGGCCAATCCTAGGGTCACTTCACCCCCATATCAGGGATGAGAGACTGAGATCTTGAATTCCTCGCCAGATAGCTGCCACCTGCTTTCCCACAGAAGAAGCCACTGTGCAGGCACCTTCTGCCCTCTCAATCCCCAAGCGTGATGACTCTTGGTTGGAAGAGCCCAGGCCTGAGGGTGGCAAAAAGCTGCTATTCACGAGGATGAGGATAGGGCTTCAGTGTGAAGGCTGGGGTGTCCCCGTGCATGTCTGCGAGGTCCCTTCTTGGTGTAGGAGGGAGCCAGGAGGGGGAGAGAAGAAGGGCAGGCTGCAGGCCAGGATCCATGAATTCTGGGAAGGCCAAGCATTATGAAGGTAAATTTGGCAAAGAAGGAAGCAGAACATGTCTTATTTAATACTTTGTTAACTTAATAGTATTTAGAATTAAATGTAGACCACATATACACATGCAATTTTATGAGCTAAATAAATATGCATTTGTGGGATAGAGAATAATTATATAATTATTGGAGAAATAATCATATCATCTATTTATTTACAATAATTCAATGATATAAATCTAATAAATATCTATAACTCCATATAACACTATTTACAAATATACACATACTTACATATTATGTAAAAATATATCTATGGACATTGCGATGATGGTAGGTGAGCCTCCATTGGGATCCCCCTTGCAGAGTTGTCAGGTGGGTGCCTTGCTCAGCCCCCACCGCACTGACCAGGCCTTCAGTGGCCTTGGTGTGGTGTTCTGGGATCAATTTGTCATGGAGGCAAATGTTGTCTTTGGTGACTCTCCTTCCTTCACCCACATTTCTCTCAGCCCCAGAAAGACCCTCTGTTACCATGCCACTCTCCTGCTGCCTCCTTTCATCTCAAATGCAAAGCTACACTTAGAAGAAAGCCAGGCCCCTAAGGAGGGCAGTTTGTGACCCAAAGATAAGTTCCTCAAAAGTGGGCTTTAGGAATGGCGAGAAATTTGGTGGAGGGAAGAACCCCCCCACATACAGGTAGATTTGTAACCCAGCCGTGTAACATGCTTGAACACACATGTGCTCACATGCATGTGTGTGCATGCACATACATGTTATAGTTTGGATAGTTGTTATAGTTTGGATCTGGAATATTCCTCCAAGGGCTGCTGTGTTGAGGACTTGGTCCCCAGCCAGTGGGGCTTTTAGGAGGTTGCAGAAACTCTAGTACCTAGTTTGAGGAAGTAGGTTCCCCTGGGAGTGTGCTTTTGAAGGGTATATCTTGTCTCCAGACTCTTCCTCTCACTCTCTCTTGGCTTCCTGGCTGCCATGAGGTAAACAACTTTGTTCTACCACACCCTTCCACCGTGATGTTTTGCCTCAAAACATCTGTTGCCCAGAAACAACGGAGCCAGGTGACCTGAAGACTAAAACCTCTAAACTCGGAGCCAAAAGAAATATTTCCTCCTTTAAGATGATTTTCTTAGGCATTTTGTCATAGCGACTGAAAACTAACACACACACACACACACACACACACACAAAACCACATAATTATGCAAAGTTTTTGTATAATAGATTATTGGAGAAATAAGACCATCTATTTATAATAATGTCATATTTATATATGTTCATGAGGTACTTATTGTGGGCCAGCCCCTGTGCTGGGTGTTAGTAGGATAATGCACAGACAGGTTTTCTTGCTCAGTCTGCAGAGGGACCAGGGCCCACAGGCAGTCACAGAGCGCTGTGACTGAGCACTGATGGCTCAGCACAGAGCAGCCTGGCAGCAGAGACAACAGGCACTAGCTCTGAGTCACAGGACGCAGGGAACTCTCCTGAAGGAAGCAAAGTGTAAGCTAAGAGCTAAGGTGGCATTTGTTCAAGAATTGAAAGTATTTACTTAGTGTGATTCTAAGTTTAGACCCTTGAAAGCAAGAGAGAGAGACAACAGCTCTCATGACCACGCTGTCAAGACTGAGTTCCTCAAATCTCTTTTCTCTGCATCTGGAAGGCCTGGGCAGGAGGAGGATGGGTCATGCATGGAGGGAGGAGGATGTAGACAGGGGAGGTGAAGCACCCTGAGGACCAGCTTTAGACTTTAGCTCAGGATGGCACGTTCCTTCTTTGTTGTCAGAGACACAACCCGCTTCTGACGGACAATGGTGCGAGGCAGACATAGCAGTTCATTCACTTATTACTTAATTTATTTATCCATCTATCTAGTTGATCTGTCCTTCACAAAATCTACTCTGAGCGGGGCCTGTGAGAGTATGATGATAAATTAGGTTCCCTGATGTTATTTCTGATGCCCTGCCCAGCTAGTCCTTGTACCGTGGCTGGGTCCTCCACTTGGGCCACCTTCAGCCCACTTGTCTGAAGCCGGCCCTCACCCTTATGGTGGCTCTTGTCCATAACAAGACTTGCCTGACTGTTCTCATCACTTAGAACCACCCCTCCCCCATCAATACTGACTCTGCTTTGCCAATCACAGGTACCTTGTTTCACTGATGTTGTCGTTTTTATTCATCAAATCTTGTATCCCCTGGAGAGCAGAGTCCCTCTGCACTTTCATGTTGTATCCCCCCCACAGATGGGTCCATAGGACTTAATGAATGTTTGCTGAATGAATGAATGAATGAATGAATATAGTGGGTAAGCCAGGTTTTATCAGGATAATGTCAACCCTATACAGTTCTAAGTGTCCAAACACTAGGCTGGAGGCATTTGGAAACGGTGTTTTCCTGTTTGGTTGGCACAGGACATAAGCATCTGTTCTAAATGTGTGTGTGCTTGTGTATTTATGCATTTCCCCCTTTCCATCAGAGGGATAAAATTGTGTTCAGCCATGTACAGTGTGTTTCCTGCTTGGAGCTGTGGGGATTCAGGAAGCAGTTTCTCTGGGCCCAATCCTTTTTTTCTGTCTTTCTTTTTTTTTGGTGCTGGGGATTGAACCCAGGGCCTTGTGCCTGCAAGGTAAGCACTCTACCAACTGAGCTCTAACCCCAGCCCCCAGAATGCTTTTTAAGAATCCTTATAACCATGAGTGAGTATATTACTTCTATGTGGTGCTTATAGTATATCACATTTATTCACAACCACTTCTTACCACAGCCCTGTCTTGTCTTACAGAATTAGAAATGAGTGCTCACAGAGGTTAAGCCAGCTATGCAAGTGTGCTCAGCTGTGAGGGGTAGGCTCAGTTCTCCTCCCTACCCCTTGGTCTCCTGGATTCTCCAGGGAAGACACACTCCCATTCTGTTTCAGCAGGGCCTGGAGGGGCCATGTCTCTCATCCCGTGGTTCCGGTGGAATGAGCCCCCACCCCGGCTGTCATCCAGGAGCCCTGCTGAGATGGTGCTGGAGACGCTCATGATGGAGCTGGTGGGGCAGATGCGAGAGGCTGAGAGGCAGCAGCGGGAGCGGAGCAACTCGGTCAGGAAGATCTGCACCGGTGTGGACTACAGCTGGCTGGCCAGCACGCCCCGGTCTACCTATGACCTCAGCCCAGGGGAGCGGCTGCAACTGGAGGATGTCTGTGCCAAGATCCACCCATCCTACTGTGGGCCTGCCATCCTCAGGTAATCCATGGCATAGGGACAGGGACCAGCTATTGGGCTGCAGCTCCAGGCAGGGCCCTGAGGCCACCAGGACTAGACCCAGGGTTCCTGGAAGACACGGTTAATCTGTCAGAAGGAGCAAGGCAGGAAGAGGAAGCTGAGGGACAGCATGGAGCAGCAGGTTGGGGCATGGGCTTCAGTGAGAGGCAGAGGCAGCTCTTGGGGGCATATGAGTTTTGGTGGATGAGGACTCTCTGTTCTTCCTGCCAAGATTATTAGTATCCTGGATTTCAACAGCTGGCTTCTCCTCCTTCATCATTTTATGATCATTATTACTTTCTTAGAGGAGTTTTCCCAGACAATCTCCAAAATTAGTGTCTTCATCATCCTATTTCACACCAATCTGCCTAAGGTGTGAAGGTGACTGTGAGTGTGTGTGAAGGGTTCGGAGCCCTGGGGCACTGAACATTTAGAGCTTGGATACAACAATATTCCTGAATATAAATGTAACCTTCCTGAAGTGGTGACCCACGGGGTCCTGTCTCAGATTGGTGAAGTCAAAGAAGCATGTAGTCAGTCCAACAGCCAAAAATAATTTCAAAATAACTCAATTTCTTTTATCTGTATTTCTCTTTGTAAAGGAATACAAAACAACAATAAAACATTTTAAAATTCCCCTGACTACTCAAATCTCCCTTTACCCATCTCTTTAACCAGTGTAAACATCTATGGTACACATTTCCATTTAAAATTCCTTTTTAGAATGCCTTCTCCAGCCCTATTCTGGCTCCTTTTATAGTCTTTTTACTTTTATCCAGGCTGAGAATCCTAGCCACTCTTCCCATTTTTCTGATTTTGTGCCATGGAAATCCCCAAGTAGACCTACTCCAGAAGCACCTGGGGACAGGGGTGGGATGCTGATGGGGGGACTCAGTTGCAAATTAAGCCTCCTAAGTGAAGGAAAGACTGAGAACACTCACAAGGCAATGAGATAATGACTTTTCTGATACATTTCCCATCTCACATCATTGCTAAGAAGTTTGCAAAGTCCTGACTCTCAACATGGGGGAGGAAACCAGGTATTCAATGGACTCACTAACATTGATTCTTGAGCGCTAAGCAAAGACTTTCTAAGAAACGGAATCAGCTTGGGAAAACACCCAGGGACCCAGGTGCAACCCAGGCCTGTGGGAGCCTCATAGGATCCTTCCTGGCTGTAATGCAGGATCATCTAGGGGAAGTAGCAGGAGGAGCCCTTTGTGAACGGCCATTTAGCTCCCCCTCATCCAGAAGGTGACAGAGAAGTTGTGGGAGGCACAGCTTATGTCACCGTCACAAGCAGTGACATAATCAGATACCCACTTCAGAGATCACATAGGGTAGTGTGTGGAGAAGGAAAGGGAGAGGGTTAAGGCAGAAAGTCTTACACAGCAAAATTGCCACGGCAGTGGGCTCCCCAGAATACTTGGGCATTGACCACCTTAGGTTAGTGTCGGGATCTTTACATACTTGGGCGCATGAAACCTCTCTGGTAAGTAGGAAAGCCCCCTACACCCCGTTTACAGATGAGGATGCAGAGGCTCATGGAGGCCAGGAGTGGCAGAACTGGGGTTTGAACTCAGGATGGGCTGGGAAAATAGGGAGGCGGGGTGATTGCTGTTTGATTTCAGTTGCAGGTGAAATGGACTAAAGGGGAGTTGACCACAGGGAGGCACGAGCGGCTCCTCAGGGTTAGAGGCCCGCCATGTGCCACCCCGCAAGGGTCCCAAGGCGCCCCCTCTTTTGTCCAGGTTCCGACAGCTGCTGGCGGAGCAGGAGCCCGAAGTGCAGGAGGTGTCCGGCCTCTTCCGCTCGGTGCTGCAGGAGGTCCTGGAGAGGATGAAGCAGGAGGAGGAGGCCCACAAGCTGACGCGCCAGTGGAGCCTGCGACCCCGGGGCAGCCTGGGCACGTTCAAGAGCCGCGCGCGCATCTCGCCCTTCGCCAGCGACATCCGGACCATCTCGGAGGACGTGGAGCGCGACGCGCCGCGGCCGTCCCGCACCTGGAGCATGCCTGAGTTTCGGGCACCCAAGGCCAACTGACCTCGGCCACGCCCCTGTTCAAAGCCGAGACACCTGCAGGAGGGCATGATAGGCCGGTGACCTGGTCGTCGGTCCTGGAACCTCTCCCCCAAACCCCGATGAAGAGATCAGAGGCGGCCCTATCCCAAGATGCTGCTGTAAAATGGGTCGACCTCTCCCCATCTCACCCTTTTCTGACCTTGGGACCAAGTCAGGAGAGTCAGGGCGTAAAGCTGCAGTGGCAGGCGGCCCCCCCCCGCCCCCACCCCCGCAGAGTCTCAAGGTCTTGATAAAGAGACCCAAGTCCCATCTCCATCTCCTACAATGAGTTGCCCTATCTTTTTTTTTTTTTTTTTTGCAAGATATCACCCCAAATTTAGGAATATCCTTCATTCCCTTCCTTGGTAATGATAAGCGATTTATGGAATAGTGTCCATTCTCTGTTCCTGATCTCATCCCTCGGGGGTGGGTCACAGCCTCGTGGGCGGGCAGAGCCGGCAGATGCAACATACCACTGCATCCACTCTTGTCAGCTAGTGAGTGAGGAAGCCAGAATTCAGACTGGGACAACTTCTTCTGTCTTAAAGCGCAGCCAGGTCCACACAGGCAGACAGATTGTTCCAGAAGTCTCTGCCCCTGAGTTCCTGAATTCTGGGCTATAATGGGACGTCCTAGGGGGGTGCATCTCCATTTCTGTGGTCTGATCAATACCTCCCCTGTGTTGGGGAAAAGTGTCCCTAACTACCAGTGCATGCTCAGAAAATGCAAGTGGATCTTATTAATAATCTAAATAAAATGCCAAAAGGAAGTGAAACAATAGAGAGTGAATTCATATATTTCCTGACCAAGCTCAGTGGAAATTCATCCCCCTTCCTTTTATTTTGGAGACAGCCACTTTACCCAGGCTGGTCTTGAACTCATAGGCCCAGTGCTCTTCCTGCCTCAGCCTCAAAAAAAAAAAAAAATCTTTTTTAAATGATCAGGTTTTGGATTTTCACTCAAATCTGAACAGAAAATCATTGGATGGTGGAACCCTCTCATTCAGTGCTATAAAGATGAAGAAGCTGATTGGCTTATTGAACAATTGGGAGAAGCTGAGAATCACTTAAAGAAAATGTACACCTTAAAATAAACATGTATTTGATTGGAAGACATTAGAAAGTTCATTCAATTGCCAAACTTTGGATGTAGGTCCAAGGTATGTTCACTTCTCTGTGACATGTATGGGTTGAGTGATGGGAGTTCCACACTCCAGCTGATTGCTTTGTGTGTACTGTAATTATATCAATAAGAACAACTGGTATCAACAAGTTTTTGGAACAAACAGAAGAGACTCTTGGTAAGCAGCCACCCAGTTGGAAGGAGTGACAGTGTTGAGGAAGAGCAAGAACAAAGCCTACAAGCCATGAGCTTTTCTGGGTGCCCTGACTAGGATCAGCATGTTTTCACTAGAGGAATGGAGGGTCATGGTTCACCTGGAAGGAGGTTCAAGAGGCTGGCTCAGAGAACATCTACTCTTTTCTTTCTTCTCAATCACCGTACACTTACTTGTTCTCCCCAGAGAAAAGAAAGACCTGAGGCTTTCAACATGGTGTCCTTTTAAAACAAAGTTTAAGTGACTGACTACCAGTTAAAACCTTCTCTGCCAATCTCACTTGTGACAGAGCCCACCAGCTTCCCCAATGACTAATGTTCTGCTGCAGCTGATTCAACATTGACACTCAAACTTACCAGGGTCAGAAGGTTGTTCCTGTACATTCAGTTTGTTAAAGAGACTAATGATATCTGTTTCTACTTTTATTTTTAAAAACTCAGGAGCAATGAATAAAAGGACAAAAGAGTGTGGGAGTCTTCTTATGACTGTCAGATGAGGGATGGGCAGTAGCTAGAGGGGAAGGGTGGGGCATGCTTGGGACTTTGTGCTTTAGCACTCCACTCAATACCAGCAGCCCCTAGAGGGGACGGCGAGAGGGTTAGACCACATGTGACTATCATTTTATTTGACTTTGTGGTGTTTTTGACTTGTTATGGAAAATTTCAAATTAACAAAATAGCAGAGAGAAAAATTTTAGGAGCCCATATACATCCATTACCAAAGTTTAATAGTTCTTAGTATTTTGCCATATTTGATTTTATCGATTATCTAATTTTTGTGAGGTATTTTAATATAAATCCCAGATATATGACATTTCTTTCCTGAACACATCAGAATGCACCCCAAAGGAATAAGAAATTTTTCTTTCTAACCACAATACTGCTATAATTTCTAATCAAATTAATATTAATTCCTTAATATTATCTAGTACCCAATCCATCTTCAAATTTCCATAATTATTCCCAACACCTGATTCTTGCGGTTTATGTCTTTGAATGAGGATCTGATCAAGCCCCACACGTTGACAAGAAAGTTGCACATTGTTTTATACTTGGTCATGTAGTGCTGTTTATTTCCATGGTAGGCCAGAGGGCCTGTGGAACATCCATGTTGATGTACAGTAAGTTAATTACCTCTCCCAAACGATCATAATTCTGCAAGTGGTAGTGACAGTGTATGGAATGTGACTTTTCATTTGATGAAAACACTTGCCACATCCATATGCTTTATTTTCTGAGACATGCCTGCAAATAGTGAACAAAAAGCCTTTCTCCTTTTCTTACCATTTAGAAACAAAACACTAAAATGTATCAGAACAATTCAAAGGAAACATCAAGAATTCACAAAGGTAGGTAATAAAAAAAGGTTATGTCATATTTTTTTGGGGTGGGTGGGTACCAGGGATTGAACTCAGGGACACTCAAAAACTGAGCCACATCCCCAGCCCTATTTTTGTATTTTATTTAGAGACAGAGTCTCACTGAGTTGCTCAGAGCCTCACTGTTACTGAGGGTGGCTTTGAACTCATGATCCTCCTGCCTCAGGCTTCTGAATCACTGGAATTATAGGCATGTGCCATCACTCCCGACAGTTATGTCTATTTAAAAAAATGTTTTTAAGTTGTAGATGAACACAATATCTTTATTTTATTTATTTATTTAATGTGTACTGAGGATTGAACCCAGAGCCTCACATGTGCAAGCAGTCTACCACAGCCCCAGTTGTGTCTGTTTTTGATGGCATCATTCATCATGTAAATTTCAGTCTGTGTTCTGATGTTCCTATGGAACCCTCCAAACACAATGTAGCCTCAAAATTTATTCATCAACAATTCATTTTTGACAATTATTTCAAATTAATTTAATAGCTTGACTCATTTGTCAAAAGCAGATACCAACATCTGTTCCTCTTTTTGGAATAGTATTATGTATTGTATTAAATTAGTATTATAATTAGTATTATAATATCCAGTCGGGAGCTCATCTAAAAGTAAAAAAAAAATAATAAAATCATTTCTTTATTATATTTAAGGCAAAACTAAGAATGAGTTTTTAAAAGTCTCTTTAGATGCCCAAGAATTTTTATATCATTGAGAAAGGTATTCTCAAGTCAACAGAGGTCACAAAATTTTCTGGCACGTTTAGTGTAATTATATTACATGAGAGGCAACCCCTTGATGGAACAAATGCAACATCCCACCCCGCTGGCTGGAATTCCCTGCGGGGAGGATGACATTCTAGGAGCAAGCTGTTCTCAGTGTGAGCTCAGTGCTGCACTATCTGCTTAGAGCCTCTTCTGGCTCCTGATCAGAGCCAGGGGCCTCTGCTAGGCTCTCACTAAGTGTCCAGGCTCCAGAACCCAGGGCCAAAGTGTATATAGTTGAGGTTAATTTAGCTTCTCCTTAACAGAAACCAAATAAAACCACCAGGCAAAGAAACTGCTGAAAATGCTAAAAAAGGAATGGGAGAAATACATCTTCTATAGGGGTGGGAGGGAAAGGGAGGGAGAAGGGATTCCCCTTCTGGAAGGTGAAAGAAGACCCTCATCATTATACCAAATACATGTATGAAGATGTGAATTTGATGTCAACATACCTTATATACAATCAGAGACATGATAAATTGTGGTAAAAGATGTATTAAGAATTGTAATGCAAAAAATAAAAATTAAATTTTAAAAAATTTAAAAATTAAATAAAGAGAAATACATCTTCTAATCAAATAAGCCAGCCCTATAATGTTGCTATGGATAAAGAGGGCAAGGTCAAAAAGAAATTCCTTGACTAACATTTGAATGGTCCTTTACAGTTCACTAAGAGTTTTAACCCATATTATCTCATTTGATCTTGACCAGGAGGTGAAGTCAGTACATTGAGTCGAGTCTCAGGTTACATGTAAGTAGCCTGCCTAGAATTGGAAGTGAGGGTTCCCTCTGCATGCTGCAGTACCTTCCAACATGATATATCCAATGTACTCCCAGAACAGCCCCTCAAATCCTCCTTCACTGTACTTATCATACAAAGTTGTTTGGTTTGTTCTCCTCTCCCATCATTTTCCTGTTTCTAATAGCTTGTGGAATCCTTAAGTGTGGGAACCCAGGTCTTTCATGCCCATGTCCCTACCTTCTGGGCACACACACAGTAGTTACTTTACAAATATGTTTAACTGATGAGTGCATATGGACACCAACACAGAGCTCACCCAGGGCAGAGGCAGAGGGAAGTGTTGGATGAACATTGAGGCATTTCTGAAGTATCTGCATCATTCATTGGATTGTAAGTTCTTTGAGGCCAGTGTCCATGTCTGATTTCAGTTTGTACTTCTCCTGATATGACACATAATAGGTAGTCAACATGCTTTTTAAGAATTCACTTGCACAATCATTTTATTTATACACACACACACACACACACACACACACACACACACACACACTGAACACCTGTTTATGTAGGAACCATGGAGGAGATGGAACAGGAGAGTGGTTATCTGCCCGTGTTCCAGCTGGATAAGACAGAGCTGAGGGCTGGGGATGTGGCTCAAGCAGTAGCGCGCTCGCCTGGCATGCGCGCTGCCCAGGTTTGATCCTCAGCGCCACATACAAAGATGTTGTGTCCGCCAAAAACTAAAAAATAAATATTAAAATTCCCTCTCTCTTAAAAAAAAAAAAAAGAATAGTAAGATGATCCTTCTCTCTCTCAAAAAAAAAA